ACATTTAGAAAAACTAAAATTTACCGGATAAATTTTATGTAAAAATTTAAAAGGTATTTATTTTGATTTGTTGGAAATGCAAGATTTCCAATCCGTATTACCTTAGTCAGACGCGCACGTGCTTAATTTCAAACAGAGGAAGTCGCACTCGGGCATCTGGGATGTATATCAAGTGCACTGTGTTCGCGGACGAGGTACCATACTGACAATGAAGAGAAGAAATGTTATTATTTTTGTTTAATAACATAATAAACAAAAGTATTCAGGAAATAAATCATCTGTGTCTGTCCTTTTGGTAATAATGCAATTATCATTTCTTAACATGCAACACTGATCTGGATTTAAACGATCTTATTTTTCTCATAAATCCTCATAAATTTTGTGTGGAATCAAACCTCTTTTAGCTAATTAGCTGTTTACCAGGTTTCTTTAATGCACTTTCTATAAAACATTAAGATCTGATACAAATAAATTTAACTGTAGCTGCAGGTGTAACCATGAAATTGGTGCTGACAGCAAGTACTAGTCAAGGGATCTTATAGACAACAGAATCACTTTCTCTACAGTCAGACATGACTGATTACTTTACTTTTCTCTGACAGACTGTGTGATAAATTATTATTATTATGTGTGCGCGTGTGGGGGGCGTTGCGCATGCGCATTTTCTCCGTCAACGACCAGGGCTCAGCACCAAGGACAGCGGTCGCAGAGGATCATCATGATGATGTCAGGGTCGACGTGACGTCAAGGCAAGCTATTCGTAGCACCACAGGCCCACAATGTCTCACCAGCTAAATTGGAAAAAACAAAGTATTGTATACAAAAACATATTTTTTTTTTCAACACTGGTTTTTGAAGCAACTATTCTGCTTGTTAGTCAATTTTTTAATGGTCATTCATTAAATTATAAGGTATTATTAATTAATCAATTCAATATCCCCATCCCTCAATAATTTTCTGTTGTATTTGATACCATACCATCTGAAGGGATTCGATTATCCCAAAACATCCTTCTGTTTTCCCACCTTTAGACCCTTCTACTACAATGTTAGGAAAATGTTGTTTTTCTGCAACTTCTTCAAGCAAATCAATGCACTTTTTATTTCTTAATATAATTGTATCAGTTTCAAAAGTTACTTTTAATTGGAATTATTTTGTTCATAATCTTGTTTGGAAAAAATATGGCTCATCCCAAATAGCTACTCAATTACAAATAAGATAAAATAAGTTTAATCTAGAGTTAATACACTGTAAAACTTAAAACTTTAAGGTAATTCAAACCATTTGAGGAAACCGATTGCACCAAACTATTTAAGTTCAAAACTTAATTCTAATGAGTACTGTGATCTTAATTTATTTGAGTAAATGAACCAATTTGAGCACAGTAAAACCCAGTAAATAAAGAAAACTCAAACCAACTGAGCACTGTTAAACACAATAAGTTAAATATAAGTAATAAGTTTGAGGAATATAAGTTTAGTTAGAGGACACTAATTGCTATAAACCCTTAATTCATTCATCCATTTTCTTTTTAGCCAGTCCTTTTATTAATCTGGGGTTGCCACAGTGGTATGAACCACCAACTTATCCAGCATATGTTTTACACAATGGATGCCCTTCCAGCTGCAACCCATCTCTGGGAAACATCCATACACACTCGTTCACACTCATACACTATGGACAATTACGCTTACCCAATTCAACTGTACCGCATGTCTTTGGACTGTGGTAGAAACTGGAGCACCCGGAAAAAAACATACATATATATATATATATATATTTTTTTTATTTTTATTTTTTTTAATTATTATTACTAAAATTTTATATTTTTTATATTTTTTATATTTTGCTTACTGAAATGCAGCAGGCGTCGTAGTGGCGCAGTAGGTAGTGGGACTAAGCTGACAAGAAAATAAATGAATGAATGAATGAATGAATGTAATGCAGCATTACTTTCAAACTATTTTTTGACTCTTTTACAAAAAAGCTTCAAAAACCACTGAAATTTGATTAAATTTAAAATTGTAGATTTCTTTAATGTGTGTGTATATACCCCTTCTGTTTTTTTTCTTTTTTATGATGTACTGTGATTGTATATTCTCATTTTTCACATAATAAAAAAGCCAACAGTGTCTCAGCCACCTCAGTGAAAAAAGTGAAAGAAACGAAAAGCTGACGCATCTAATCCTCATTTATTAATACATGATTTATTATGTACACAGTAAAATAAAATTTCCACTTACAACCAAAATATCAGTTTACGTCAACCTTTTTCATTTATAGTGTAGCTTCATACAGAGTACCCTAAAATTTACTGAATTGTGGTTTCGTTGATTTCCTTTCCATATTGCTCATATACGGACTCCTCAAATATACGCTGAATAGATGCAAAGTTAGATGAAACATGAGATTTTCAGAAGACAAACTCAGTGGCACAGAAATATACAATCACAAATGTTATCTGAATGATTTTGGTCCATCAGTATTTAGGGAATATATATTCATAAATATATATTTTAGGGTTGTAGTTATTTATGTGGGTTGTTTTTGTATACAGCTGAATGAAATTACTGGTGCAATAAATAAGACTTGCAATACATAAATAGTCTCTCTTGATTTTCTTTCACAGGTAAATCTGCATAATCAAATACATGTATCTTTCTTGACAAGCTAAACGATGACTGGATCACAAAATCATCCACTTAAATATGATAAAAACAATTGAGAGATTAAAGATAACTGCAATTGCATAGTACCTTAAAATCAGTCTTCAGTCATGTGCAACTACAAGAAAAAAGAAAAGAGTAAAATTTCATTCCTATCAATTATTGTCTTAAAAGCCAAAGTGAAAAAATATATGATTAAGAAAAAAACAACTCAAATCAGAGCAGTGTTTCAATCAGTAGTTATGATTTTTACAATACACACTCTTGGGACCCCTGCAATTTAAGATCCTTTAAGACTAGAGATGTCTGCACTATAAATTTAGACCACAAAAATATAAATTGCGGCCCCCAAAATTATTTGAACATTTTTGAATACACCAGATGTATGAAATTCATCTTATTAAGGTCTGTTCGCACCAAGAACAAAAACAACAATTATTGATTTTTAATTTCAGGCCAAACCGTAACTAAAAACATGTGAACGAATTGCTAAATAGTGGCAATGAATCAATAAAATAAGAAAACAAATTGTCAATGATTTGTGACGTCAATGGTGTATGTGCACACAAATTCAGCCGGTGAACTGTCACACCAATACAAAAATCGCCAGCCTGATCTCACGGGGAAACATAAGTATTTTATGATTTGTCAGTTCAATATCTAGTTTGTATGAATTCGTAAGAGTTCAATCGTATGAAAATGTACGTTTTTTACAAAGCACCCAACCCCACCCCTAAACAAAACCGTCATTGGGGGATGAGCAAATCAAACTAAATTGTACGAATGAGATCATACAAAATCACACAAATTAGCCACTTAATCAAAAAGTCACGAGATGGCGTTGACATCGCCACGATTTTGTCTTTGAATTATGGAAATGTATTTCTTTATTCCTGCGCTCGCCTGCTGCTACTGATGCCGCTTGCGTTTACTCGGTCTTTCATCTCGTTTTACGTTTGAACAACTAAATGAACTCTTAAGTCTATTTAACTGAATGTATTTTAATTACATTAAAACATTGATGATGTAAAAGAAAACTTATGAAATCAAAAGTAGTCACATAAACCTTACACAGGAAGTTTCTTGTTGGCTGAAAAACACGATGACTTAATATAATAAGAGAACAAACTCTTAATTCGTGGCCACAATTTAACTAAAACAATTGATCAATTAGTAAACTCTAGTTATGGTTCTTGATGTGAACGGACCTTTAGAAACGAAATGCTGCACGACCTTTTCTGAGAACTATTTTCTCAAGTCCTCAAGTACAAACACATTTTTTGTGTCACAACAATCAATTAAAACCTCACTTTTAGTTGTCATTTCGAACAGTATATCCATTATGTGTTTGTAAAAACCAAACAAATGTCCTTGTAAAATACTTGAAAGTGTGCTTTTTTTCCAACAGGGGCTCATTGCGAAAACATACCCTCGTTTACATTTCAGGAGAGCGCGAATTATGTAGCCAGAGCTACGTATGGCTGCATTTCATCTCTAAAACAAGCGCTACGCGGCAGTATGATGCCACTGATGGCTTCTGTTTCTTTTTGTACTGACCGCTTACCATTTGTGTAAACGTCTTTTTCACTGTTACCAGTTTGCCTAGTAGCTAGAGACCCAGAGAGGAGTTGACCGCGACGATGGGGTTCAAGTCTGGCAAAGAACCATTTCAGAAAGCAGGAAAAAAAAGGCAAAAAATAAAATAAACAAGTAAATGAGAGGGTGAGAACATGGTAAGATCTAAAAAAGTGGTAAAAATAAGGTGGCCACGAGGGCTTTTTTTCTGGATTGCTCTTGAAAACACTGTGGGTAGGGTTTAGGGAAGGGGTGATCGGGTCAATCAATGCTTTTGAAAACACTATCGGTTGGGTTTAGGGAGGGCGGGGGATGGGAGGATCAGTCAGTCAGTCAGTCAGTTAGTCAGTCGACAGCAGCCTCTGGTGGATTTATGTGAGAACAGCAGGTTCAAATGGCACTGGCAAGAGAAATTTGAGATCTGAAAAAGTGTACACAGCGGCCTCTGGTGAATTTGCGAAAACAAAAACTGAAAAAAAAAAACGTAGCTCCTGGGACGTATTTTGCACTGTCCAGAAATATATACAGGGTTACATATCAATAATGAGCCTGAATTTTTTTTTTACAGTATGACACTTGGTTTGTTTTTTTTGCTATATAATGCAGACACATTCACACCCTTTTAAAGTGTGCGTAAAGTGCCAACATGTTTTTTGGTGCCACTGTGATCCACACAAGCCTTCGCAATGTTAGTTGTGCAAAAACCGTTGTAGTGATGCCAACTGTAGTGTCATTTTCTCAGATATCCTGCAATTTCAAGCATCTCTATACGATGTCTTTATTTAGGTCCATTTGAAAAGACAACACCACTAGCAGACATTTTAGTAAATTCATTGTTCCAGTGCTCTGTGAGATGAGTTACAGCACATCGTCGTGGTTTTCCCTGGTCGGAGTCCTTCTTCTCCGCATGCTGGAAAAGAGGTTGGAGGCAGTGAGGGCCACACGGCTCAGGCCTAGATTTAGACAGTGCACTTCTGACGTCACCGGCACCTCGGCGAACAGAGCCCTGTCCCGGGACACTCGGGCCACGCTGTCGCTGTTCTCGATGTCTTTCACTATATTCAGGATTTCCTGCCTCTCGGTTTGCCGGGTCATTCCGCGGATGTTGAGTATGGCAGAGACGTGCTTTCTTCTGGAAAACATAGCAACTATTTGGTCACTACATGAATCATATATTGTCGTGTTGGCAATACATGTACAAATAGTCAAATGATTTGATATTTGTGTATCTGTTTTCATGATTTATTTATTTCTGATAACCACTGATAATGCCCATTCAACAGAGCAATAACATTCAAAGTGGGTGTTGACTTTCATTATAATAATTTTTTTGATTGCAAAGCCATGACACCGTATAATCATGCCTAGATTGTTGGTGGTGTTCTCTGGGTAGTAAATTTGAACAGTATTAAGCATGAAAAAGGAGAAATACTACAATAGTTGGAAGGTGAGTGAAATACTTCAAATGTACTGGAACAGACTTTTGTATTAAAAATGTTTATGGCCATAATTTATTCATTGATTCATTTTCTTTTCGGCTTAGTCCCTTTATTAATCCGGAGTCGCAACAGCGGAATGAACCGCCAACTTATCCAGCACATGTTTTAAGCAGCGGATGCCATTTTGGCTGCAACCCATCTCTGGGAAACATCCACTCATACACTACGGACAATTTAGGCAACCCAATTCACCCGTACCGCATGTCTTTGGACTGTGAGGGAGAGCGGAGCACCCGGGGAAAACCCATGCGAACGCAGGGAGAACATGCAAACTCCAACGCTAACTAACTCAGCCGAGGATTGAACCAGCAACCTTTTTGTTTGCATTTTTTGAGTGCATATTAAGATATTTTTGATGAAATCCGAGACCTCTCTTCCCCTCCACAGACATTAATGTTCATGAGATGTTCAAAGTCCAGAAAAGGAATCAATGGTGACAGATCAGGGTGCGCGCTTACCACAGGTAAGCATACTGCGCTGCTGACTCGAATGACAATACATTGTACTGCTCAGAATAAATGCACACCCTGACCTGGTGCAAAAGAGAAGACAAAAGCAAACAAAGTTGTTTGTACATTTCCTTTGCCAAATAAAAGCATTCTTGGAGCTTTGTATGATTACAGTTGAACCACTGTCAAATAGAAAGTTCTGACAATATGTTTGGTTCCTTTTCAGGACTTTGAACGTCTCATGACCCTTGCTGTCTACAGAGAGTCAAGAGAGCTCTGGGATTTCATCTGAAATATCCTTACTTGTGTTCAGAGGATAAATGAAGGCCTCAGGGGGTTGAAACCAAAATCAGGGTAATAAATAACAGAATTTTCATTTGAGGACTAGAGATCATTACACTTTACTTTCCTTCGGCTTAGTCCCTGGTTTATCAAAGGTCACCACAGTGGTCTTTGTAAAGTTTCCATGTAATAAACAGTATAAAAAACCCCTATAACCCTGTCTGGGTTTGTTCTGCATTAACAAACAATTAAACGTACATCATTCCTTACGTTACAATGCTGAATAAACAGCAGCACCACAAATCCTCATTTAACCTTTCCAAAATTGGCTCCTTTGCATTCAGTTTTCCTAAATCATAAAACGTGCAAAGATACAGACGGCAGGTGGGAGAAGTTCCAACTGTGCATTGGTTTAAAACCCAAAGGTGTTGCTAATGCTAAACAATGGAGGCCGCAGCACATCTAGGTCATGCATTTGAAGTTTGGAAGCTTTATTTAGCAAGCATTCCACAAAAGAGCGCTTCCTCTGGATTCTGCAGAACTCTTGATTAGGCAACTGCCCTTTCTAGGTTAAAGCAGGGAGCTCTAGGTCAGGCCCTGGCAGGATGCCGGTGTTTTTGCTTTGTCTTCGTGAGGATCCAGAGCTGGACGACTGTACATCTTTCATGCGAATCTGGGATAACCAAACAGTCTCCCATAAAAATCAGGAAACCGCAAAGGTCTTGTTTGCTTTTACAAGCCCCTCTTTTGCTGTCAAACAGAATGTCTATGTTTTGTCAGATGACCTGAGCTCTCTGCTTTCTGACCTCGATCATATCAGAGGCTGCAAGGTGTCCCGGAGTAGCGGCCCGTCGACGTTCAAGACACTCACCGTATGTCCGGGAATTCCCGTACCAACACGCCAACTTCCATCTGGATGGAGGGAGTGTCTTCCAAGAGAATGATCTCTGAAAGGTGAGGAATAGCGCTGTCGAGCCAGGAGGCTGAAGATTCCTGGAGAGAAGCAAACAATCAGGATAAAGTCGGAACAGACTGCTAAAACATTCTGATGCCGCAACTAATCAGTTATAGAATGCTTAAAGTAAGTTCAGATTGAAGTCAGCATAAAACAGACGTCATGATAGTCCTTATTATGTGTTTTCACATTTTAAATGGTGAACCCTGGATCACACAATTATTAGCTTAAAGGTGCAGTATGTAAGTTTGATCACCCAGTGGTTGAACTAGGTATTGCATGCCTGGTTCAAAACAACCACAAGCACAAGCACAGGTTGTCAGATTGACAACACCAACAGAATTTCGAGCCTAAAGGTTGATTTAAGTCGTGTTCTAAATAAAAGCAATGGCACGCGATAGAAGGAATATTTTCCATATTTCATTTCTTTCTGAAATTTATATTTTATAAACAGTTTCTTTGTTTTGCAGCTAAACGACAGGATTAACCAACAATGATCCCCTCAGGTACACCTCATGTGCTTTATTCAGTGTTAAATGCTAATTATGTGAGTAGGAATGCCATATTACATGACATTTATTGCCATACTACTAAAAGCAGCAGCAGATAGTTCACCTCAAAAACACAGCTCTAGCTGACCAGAGGACAGTAAATTTGATAGATATGTAGAGATTTCACATCCAACTGTTCCGGAATATACACTTTGAACTCAAAAATATAGAGTTGAATAAACTTTAAAACTGTGACTTAGTGCAAGCCAACTCATTTCAGTGATTCAGCATCTACATTTAATAATGTTAAAGAGATTTAAATTAGACTGTAATTAGAATTAATTGGATGATACGCCTTACCATTTCGTTGGAGTGCAGTAAGTGCACTATTCTGTGCTTCTGAATGGTTTTATTTAAATTTGTCATGTTTCTTCTGGTGCCAACAACCAAATTGCTTATCACTCATCTCCTCATGTAGTGTATAGTTACGACACGGGGTTACAATATAGCCTACTCACCTAATTTTTACATTTGTAATATTTATATTTATTGCTTATTAATAACCACCTTATGTCGAACTCTTAATTAGTGTCTCATTTCCAAATTTGTTAAAGTCCATCATAGATCGCATTTCAGTCGTGGGCACATACTTTGAGAGCCTTTCTGACTGACTGACTGACTGTATAACTGACAGGTTAAATGACCAAAACAAAGACAGACATTCGACAAGTAACACACTTTTTTAAAGCAGAATATCTGACTTCAGCATTATTTTGCTGATAAACAAGAATGTGCACATATATTATGGCATTTTTATGCTTTAGAAGAGTCAAAATCTTACAAACAGCACCTTTAATGCCTTGCCTGAAGATCTAAAAGATCGAAGGCAGTGAAGGACACATGTAATCTGCCTTCAATATCCCACAATACTGTGATTTCCATTCCTGACTAATTTAATTAGAAGAAGTTACGTCTGGGGAGAAGAAGTGAAGCAGAATTTTGATTTGGACATCCCTTGATGCCTTCCTGCCTTAAAAAGTAGCATTTTAGAGCTTTCAGGTGCAGCTTTGTTTTAAAATATTGCTAGCATGCTTTTAGCACATTGCTTACATGTTGGCACCATGTCGAAGCACATTGTTCAAATGAATTAACCTGTTTCAGCACACTGATAACATCTACTAATGACTTCCTTTCAGCATGCAGTTGCATGTTGTTAACTTATTTTCCTATGTTGTTAGCATGGTTAACTAACCTTTGCTTGTGATATATAAATGACAGGCAGCTAGATAGGTAAATGGTCTAAAAGACTAGTTTGATAATGCTTGGAAAGAGGGAGCATTTAAAAATGTGAATATTTCTGAATCCAGACTTATCTTGTTATGAAAAGCCTTGCCAAATGTTTAAAACTTAAAGAAATTTGTGGTTGCTAAATGACAGTTCTAAATGAAGATTGTGGGGTGTTTCTTACAATTCAGGCATTAATGAACATGCTGCTAAACGCTATTGTGTTTTATCTTATTGCTATCATGAAACATTTTGTTAATATAAGTATCATTTAACAGGTTTCTATGTTTTAGTAGCCTTAATTGGTAAGTTGCAAGCATGTTTAGTCCATTGCTAGCATAAATTGTAATGTTACTACTTATATTTTAAAACATTTCGTTTTAAATACACATTAGCAAAACTCTCTTTAGCATGCTTTTGCACGTTGTTAATATAAATTACCATGTTGTTAGTGTCGTAGGTGTGTTTCTAAACTTTGCTATTGATAGATAAATGATAGGTAGATAGATAGATTAAGGTTTGAAGATCTTGAACTTGTACTGTAGGGTAAATTTTAGCCTTTAATAACACATGAAAGTCTATATAACTTTATGTAGTTCCGTGTTGTTCATGTCAACCGGATATCTGATCAGTTAGTATGCCTTTCAAAATTTGGTCTCAGAAAGCGATGATGATGTTAATGGTGATGATGATGATGATGAAACAACACCAGCTTAAATATAAGCCAATTGTCATATTTGATTTCTTCATGACTTCAAACTCAACCTTTTGGTTCTAAATACGGCATTTTCCAAAAGTACAATGTACAATGACTTCTGACAGAATGCCAAAGATCACAGGCCCTAAACAGCTCTGTACAATCAGAAAAGGCTATTTTTACACTGGTGTCTGGAAAAACAAAAACCTAGAGAATTAAGTATAGGAGCACATGTTGTTCCAATCGCGGGTAAATATCTGTATGCCCATTACACCAAGGCAGTTCTTCCTGACTCTCAGTTTGACCTTAAAGGCAAGTCATGGCTTCAAAGGACCAGGCCAGGACATTCTTCCATAAACAAAGGCATCCTGTTGTCCACCGAGGTGACAAACGGATGTTTTAACTGGAGCAAGGGGCGGACGCTGCACAGGGGAAAGCAGCATTTGGGTGGGTCATAGAGATGCCCTTTGGAGCTAAGGGCCTGTTTGGCCATCTGCCTTCTATGCCCGCTCCTGAAGTGCCCATTCTCTTCAAAACATCTCTTTTGTTTGAAAGTTGCCTGATGATTTTGGGTGATTAAAGGATACTTAAAAACAGGACATGACATTGTGTTAAATCTGGGATTTTTTCAAAAAGGATTGCATTTGCGTTATTTGAGTAAAATTTATTCTTTAGATAAAAAGACTAAAAATTAATCTCTAAATGTTCAGGAAAGTCTAAATTTTCCATGTTAAATTATTTTACTGTATTATACTGTATGAGGTCAATTTGTTTCATACCTAAAAAAGTATAAAAATTTCATACACTATAATCATCATTACAATCATACTCGTATAATCATTCATTTTCCTCCGACTTAGTTCCTCATCTAACAGGGGCTGCCACAGCAGCATGAACCGCCTCATTATCAAACTCAATAATTTAATTGGTTTAAATTTTTTTTGAATATCATATATCTTGATCAGAAATATTAACTAAAACATTTAGTTATAGAGAGAATTTGAGAAAAAAACGTTAACGTTAACTAGAAAAGTGACTCACCAGCTCTTTGAAGAGTGTTTTTAGGTGCTTTCCTTCATCCCGAAGGCGTCCAGCCATCCTCTTCCTCATTTTGAGAGAAGTGCAGATGATTCTGCCCCTCATAATGGCCCGCACATATTCCGTCATCACACGCCGGTGCACCTCCACCACCAAGACCTTACAGGACACAGAAGTGACAGACAACAGTCGGCTGGTGCTTTTAAAAAACGTCCAAGTCCAAGACCATAATATATAATCCACCAAAATATATTTTATTTCATTCATGATGATTTTGTTTTCCACCAATGCAACCCAGGGAGCTGAAATATAATTGGCTTAACTGGCATTGGGTGGCTTAAATGACCATAACAAAGACAGATGTTTTGACCCATAACACTTATTTTCAAAGCAGAATATCTGACTTTAGCATTATTTTTCAGATAGACAAGAATGATCACTTAGCATGTTTCTTAAATATCTTCAAACATATTATGGTATTTTTATGCTTTAGAAGACTTAAAAACGTACATACAGCACCTTTAATAGAAAAAAAGCTTTGTCTAAAGATCTGAAACAGCTTTGTATGCTTAAAATGTAAACTTAGGGTACTAAATGAACATAAATAACTAAATCAGGGGTCACCAACCCTGTTCCTGGAGAGCTACCTTCCTGCAGAATTCAGTCCCAACCCTGATTAAACACACCTGAACCAATTAATAGTACCTAAAGCAGCACTTGATAATTACAAACAGGTGTGTTTGGTCAGGGTTGCAACTGAAATGTGCAGGAAGGTAGCTCTCCAGGAACAGGGTTGGTGACCCCTAAACTAAATGAATCTTTGCTTACTACCACACTAAAGTCTTGCTAGAAATTTTGTCAAAAGTAGAAAATGTTGGTCAAAATGTACATTTAGACACAATTTTTTTTTATATAGTTCAATTGACATGTTGTTCTAGCTTAGTGTTTCTCAACCATGTTCCTGGAGGACCATCAATACTGCATGTTTTGGATGTCTCCTTTGTCCGTCACACCCATCACAGGTATTTCAGTCTCTTCTAATGAGCGGATGATCTGAATCAGATGTGTTTGGTTAAGGAGAGCTAGAAAATGTGCAGAGCTGGTGGTCCTCCAGGAACGTGGTTGAGAAACACTGCTCTAGCTGACTAGCAGACAGTAAATTAGATAGATATGTGTAGATTTCACATTGAACATCTCCTGAAACATACACTTTGAACTTAAAAATACAACTATTGAATTTGTTTAATATCTAAAAAGAAGATAAGTAAATAGTAAATAGATTTTATTACTTATCACCAATTTGAATCTTAAAAAAGCCTTTTAGATACAATGAATAAATAATATGAAAAGCTGAATGCATTTTCTTTAGTAATCTGTTATTGTTATTGTCTGTTATCCTCTGCCAGGATGTACTTTATCTCTTACTTTAAAAAAAATTATTACTACGTTATTTCATAGTTCCATTTTTTTTTTTTGATGAATGAAAACTGACATTACAAACACTTCAGTTTACCTCATAAGGTGGGTTGTCCATCCTGCGAAACTTCTTGAAGTGCTCTTTAATGAGTGCCTCAATCTGCTCAAAAGGCTCAGTGTTGCTCAGCCATTTCCGTTTAATCAGCTTATCAAAGAAGGGCTAGGAGAGACAAGACAGTAAGAGCTTGATTACAAATTACATCAACAGTATACACTGTACAGTATGTACTATATTTGACTTCATCAGGATGTGAGGGCTTTCAGATTTAGAGTTGAGAGAGTCCAGCTAACTTCCTGTTGTAGTCCCACTTTGACAAAAAAAGGATGCAGCTAAACTATGCGACCCATGAGAGCTGGTAATGCCAATCCACACAGCGGCATCAGGCCAAAAACATCTAATTCGCTAGTGTTTTTCACACAGCGCTGCTATTTTCGAGTCTCAGAGCCAGAGTCACTGTGCAAAACAACATCCTTGAGAACAAGCCATAGGGGAAATGCTGATAAGATATTCTTTATATTCTTGGACAGAGGCACATGATGAACATGCGGTATCTGAAGATTATGTGCGTGCAAACATGTCTGAGTGAGGAAGCGAGGGGTGATCGGTGGCAGCCTCACCCTGATATGCTCGAAAAGCCTGTCGTTCAGCACTCGCACACTCAGGTTGACTATCCTGTCCAGAGCGCTGTTGGCACGCCGGATGGAGTCCTCGCTGGTCGAGGGGTCACACTGGCCGCAGCGCTGCACAAAGCTCCTAAACACAGCAAGTTTTGATTATAAACACTAAAAGACACCAAGAGGCTCTCAATGTAAAGTGACTTGTTTAGGGGGCAAACCTGAACGATGGACAGCAGTTGGCAAGGGCAATGGTTTTAGCGATGTAACCATCTTCATTTTCTCCAAAGCTGCTCACCAGCATCTCATGGAACATCTCCACCTTCCTCTGAAAACTGTATGATGAAAACAAAGCGTTTAAGGATGGTGTGGTATCAATATAATGCATTTTGTTACATTTCAATATTGTTCAACAGTTTCTTTGTTTCAGTGTAGTTCTTTAAAGAAATAGTTTACCCAAAATTGAAAATTCTGCCATATTTTTACTCACTCTCCACTTGTTACAAACTTTGAAGAATATTAAGAACCAGACGATTGAGATCGTAGAACATACAGGGCTCGAGGGTGAGAAAATAATTTTGGAGGTAAATTGTCCCATTTAGAACTGATAGCCTTTAACAATATTTTCTTGCTTTGGAAGCTATAAATATAAATATATTTTAAATTAATCAATACATTAATTACAATAAATTAATGATTTTATTCAGCAAGTATCGATTGAATAATCCAAAATGGATATTTTAGTAAGAAGAGATTTGAAAAACTCTCTTATACTATCCAAAACATATATATATATATATATATATATATATATATATATATATATATATATATATATATATATATATACATACACACACACACACACACACACACACACACACAGTGGGAGAAATAAGCGTTCAACTTATCATCACATGTTGGTAATAACCAAAGAAATCCATATACACAAAGAAAACAATATTAATTAGTTTACAAATTAAGTTATGTGTAATAAAATGAAATGACACTGGGAGGCGTAGAAAGGCAGTGAAAGCCCAGACAGCAGCTGAAATCTCTCAGTAGTTCTTCAGCAACCCTCTGCCCTTCTTCATTGTATTTAAATATTAGCTGCTTCAGTCCAACATCTACATTATCACAATGATAAAGATGAAACCAGCAAGTCAATGATCCAAAACAGCCAATGAAACTCTCAAATAGTTTCAGAAAAAGAAAATCAATTTGTAGAATGGCTCAGCCAATCACCTGAACTGAATCCAACCGAAAATACAAAATGTGACTTCATTCTGGGTGTTTCCCAGTGTTGGGTTGCGGCTGAAAGAACATCCGCAGCATAAAACATGTGCTGGATATGTAGATGGTTCATTCCGCTGTGGCAACCCTAGATTTATAAACGGACTTAGCCGAAAAGAAAATGACTGGATGAATAACTTCATTTTCAATATGAGAGGCGTCTTTAAGATGTCATCACCATATTGTTTTTGAATACATTTCAGTAGTTCAGTAGTTTCTCCTTCTGTCATTCCATTGTTGCAATTTTTTTTTAATTTTTAATGTTTGTATTGTTTAGGTTTTTCCAAAATCCGGTTTACTTCCAGGTCAACAGCTGCTTTAGAATTTATTTACCCAGAAAAAAGAAACATGACATGTTGAATACTTTCCCCCAACTGTATTACTTATGAAATCTATTATTTATTCAATAAATATTGCATATATTTTGGTAAAAAATATAGTAAGAAGGTTTTATTTAGATATATGATATCAGTTTTAAAAAGCTGTTTTCTTTTTAAATATATTTTGAATTGCAATTAATTCCTGTGATGGCAAAGCTGAACTTTCAGCATCAATACTCCAGTCTTGTAAGTGTCATAGGTTTCATGTTTTATTTCCCCACCTGTACAGAAAATCTGCCAGTCCATTGAGACTGCACTGTGCAACCCGTGAACCCAAATGTCTGTTTACAGCCGCAGATCTCTCAAGATCCTCCTGTAGCCTCTGTAATCAAAAAATTAAATCTGGTTATGATGTATACCACACCTGCTAGAAAAATATTTAACTTCCTCGACTTTGTATTAAAATATCTTCCTCAAACAAACTCTTACTAATTTATCAACCAAATAAAGTGACTATCCTCAGAATATCTTGCATTTTTACTCTTTATGACCACTAGGTTGCAGTACAGAGCCTGCAAAAACAATGTGCTGTAATGGAAACAGGTTCACAATGGGAAGTGTTTATTTACTTTGGCTCCAGCTAGAGGATGATTTTCTTGTTACACAGAGGTGCGTGGATGAAATTTCTTACGTTTTATTTTAACAACAGACCCAGTGTCTAAAGATTGCAGACGGCAATGAACAGTGGGCCATTATATACGCAAAATCAATACTGAGAAAATGGATTAAAGTAACATGTGATATCACATGCTGATGCTCTCATACGTCAAGCACAATACCTTATTATATACATAACAGATTGCAAATGTTGACCTGAATAACTGTGCGAGCCAGGGGTATCTGATACTCCTCGATGTTCAGTGTGTCCAGCCATCTCTTCTCCTCCTCCTCCAGAACCTGAGAGAGCTCATTGGTCACTTTCCCCTGGAAAACACAACATTTCAACACACTCATTAATAGCATCCTTGCTGTGAGAGTGGGAGGGCATGCAGGGGCCTGCAATGGGGATAGATGAGACACTGCATCCGAGATAACGTTTTTAAACCATACTGCAGTAAACTCCATCATACTGCATACATTGTTAAAATGTTTTGACAAAAAGAGACAACAAATATTTTTATGTTGCTTTAGCTTATTTAAATAAGGTTTTGACTTCATTTTTTATTCATGCAAAGTTTAACTTAATATTTTTTGTCAGTTTGATTGATGTAGGTTGAGATGACTACAAAAAGTTAAATTGATTCAGCTAAAAAGTTGAAGGCAGCAAGAACTTCTTTTACAGTTTACTGTATATTATAGTTTTTACACCACTGTGTTAATGAATGCTAAAGTACACTGTAGTATTAGTGAACTGATGAACTATTGTTCAGTATTGTACAGTATTGTAACACAATTTACCCTATTTTTACATTAGTTTAGTTTATGTTGCTACAGTTGTTGTATCACCACAGCAATTATAAAATTACAGTTTATGACAATAACAGATTAATTAAAGTACTTTACTATAGTATGGTTCAAAAACACTGTAGTATTGACTATAAATATTACAGTATTGTTTTTATGTGGGTAGGGAGTCACTCACTAAAGGGGCTATATGTAATAACATTAATATAATAATAGTTTTTTTTATCGTCAATATGTAAACTGCTTCAGGTGGCATGTAAATTTATATTTATGTGAAAGAAACAAGATACATTTGCTATAAATAAAAATCTTAAGAATTTGACTTTTCATGTAGTATCTCAAAAGCCTCTCGATTCCTTAACTCAGTGTTTCTCAACCACAGTCCTGGAGGATCACCAGTACTGCATGTTTTTGATTTCTCCTTTGTGTCACACCCATTACAGGTCTTTCAGTCTCTGCTAATGAGCTAATGATCTGAATCAGGTGTGTTTGGTTAAGGAAACATGGAAAATGTGCAGAGCTGGTGGTCCTCCAGAAATGTGGTTGAGAAACACTGCCTTAACTTATCTGCAAAATTTGAATGTTGCATTTAACATTTGTGAATTAAGCATTGTTTCTGTCCCATGTGACAAAATAATAAAATCACTTCATGGGAAAATAGTGCGATATTTCGAAAATAAAAATGAATGTTTCTGCAAGCTGAGAAACCACTGTAGCAATTTTTCTAACAGACAACACATCCAATAACAATTGCAGTCATGTTATCTTGCGTATGTAGATTGAGGATGGATTTTTCCACTGGTATCTTTAAAATGATTAATTTTTATTTATTTAATCATTATTAATCATAATTTCTATTATTATTAATGATTACATTCTTTTAATAGTGTGCAGATTAATCCAGTTATCCAATCTTAGCCATTCGGGGCATTGGGCAACAAGAGACCTCATTAAATAAGACTTCATTGCAAAAATGCTTTTTTCTAGTCTTGTTTGTAGTCCAATATCTACAAATTCTTAAATCAAGAAGCATTTTCTAGAAAAGAAAAAATATTGGTTTTAGTCAAAATTGAGTGTTTTTCCTTAAAATAAGCAAAATAATCTGCCATTGGGGTAAAAAAAACATAATCTTATGTCAAAATAATAAAACAGTATTATTTATTTTCCTAGAGATGGGCATAATCTAGAAGGGCATCCGCTGCGTAAAAAACGTGCTGGATAAATTGGCGGTTCATTCCGCTGTGGTGACCCAGGATTAATAAAGGGACTAAGCTGAAAAGAAAATGAATGGATGAATTTTATTTATCTTACCCCATTGGCAGATTATTTTTGCTTGTTTTAAGGACTAAATACCTATAATTTTGACATATTATTTCTTAAAACAAGACAATATTTTTTGCTTGTTTTGAAAATGCTTTCTTAAGATTTTTTAGATATTTGGACTAGAAACAAGGCAAAAAATCTTTGCAGCTCCATCTTGTTTGCTTGCTTGCAGATTAAATTACTGAATACATTTCTTGAGACGCATTGAAACTGTCATTTGATTTTACCTTCTGTGATCAGATAACATTAGGTCAAATCCAATCATTGTTCAATGTATCTTGAGAAATGTATTTATTAAATATATTTCCATCAGCTTGAGCAAATCCTTTTATCAAATAAAAAAAATCAATCAGTCTTTGTGTATCACATATGGTCACATCATGCAGATGCATGGCTCATACTTAAAAAAATGTAGAATAAAGGCAATCTCGAACAAACACACAACAATAACAGTAACATTGTATGCAAAATTAGAAGATTTTCCTTGCAGTGTTTTCTTTTGCTATAATCAAAAATTCCCATAAAATAGATGTGTGAAATTGATAAAAACACAACTAAGGTGTTTATTTGAATTATAAATAAAACTCACAATTAATTTCGTATCCACAAACAATGATTGACCAATTTTATAAAAGCTGAAAGTGATGTAATGACTCAGAATCAAATGTAATAAGTACATTAATAATAAATACGGCCACACTTTAGTTTTAATGTACAATTTACGCTATTAACAAACCATTAACTAACACTTTTAGCTTAAAAAACTACAAATGAACTGCTTATCAACAGATATTAGTGTAGTAGTTGAGTTTAGGTATCACCATTTTGAGGGATGTTAACAATAACAATGGTTGGCTTTACATTTTTCATTTCCATAGCTCCCAAGAATCCTAACTGGTCCACATATGGATAAATAACGTTACGACAGCTGTTTTAACATTGAGATATTATTGAATTGCCTCTTGTTCCAGTTATTAAAATAGTTTGACAACAAGCAGGAAATGTTCATGGGCCAATGGCATCACCACATGATCTATTGGGTAGGATTAGGTATTTAAAATAAGATCATACTTTATAAGTGCTAATAAACAGTTAATATGTTAATAACAGGCAGGTAATAAGCCAGTAGTAAATGGTGTGAATTATTGACTCAACTGAAGTGTTACCATAATAATACTTACATTTTAGATGTGACTTTGTCTAATCTGGTTATTTTCAACATTTGTTGTTTGTTTTAGCTAGAAGAAGTTCTTAACATACATTTGTGGGACAAAGTTCATTTTAAACCCTGGACAGACTGTAATTTAGTGATTTTCTGTGCTTCTGCCATTGCGGTTAACTGTTCTAATGCAATTAACATCACATGGACATGTTGGTTGATTAGTGAATTCCTTCAAATCCTTAAAGAGTTATCAATATCAGTTCATACAGATGTTAACACTCTCTTCATCTAGTTTTCCAATTTAATTTTTATTTTAGACTAATAGTCAAGTGCCTATTCCTTTTCATTGCATTCAACTTCATGTACTTCCAAGCTACAGAGTTATTAAAAGACCACACTTTCAGGTCGCTTAATGAGCGAAGGGAAAAATGTGTTGTCAAAGCGGACTCCTATTGTGTAGTGCTCATTGTAGACAGGAAAACCGTACGTTGACCCTGAAATGCCGCACTCTAATTGACCATGCAGGTTGCAATGACCAGCCATGTCTTCGAGCAGACAGGATGTGGCGTTGTTCGAGATATAAAGAAAAAGGTAAGAGATTTTTGGGGACAAAGTGTGTGAAATCCAGAGTGGTTACCCTGACGGAGTTGAGGCAGTCGAGCTCCAGTTTGTCCACCGTCTCTGTGGGCAGCAGCGGGCCGAGCTGCGAGAGGTTAATGGGTGTTGTTATAGTGACTGTTCCAAGGACATCTCTGCAGCAACAACAGGAAGAGCAAATCACAAACTGAGTCTGGACTTCACTCATAAGGAAACATTGAATTATGAAGGAACAGGAATGGGAAGGTACAAGAGCGGGTTTCACCTCTCATATCAACCAAGAGCTATTTATAACAGGCCGTTTTAGGTTTGCTGTTGCTCTGTGTGACTTGACAACTGGATAACCGGTGATAATGTGAAACGGCACAAGATTTTCTGTTACCGTTATGATATGACCAAATCTGGGGTCAGTAAGATTTTTTATTAGTTATAATGCTGTAATCTGTTCCTACAATGTAAAATAACTGCATTAATATATTTAAGACTATAATTCAGCCATGTCATTACATAGATTATATATACTTTATGGAATTATACATTTATGGAACAGATAGGCTGCTTAATATATTTTTGGGAGTTATGGTACATGTTTTTTAACAGAATTATTTAAAGAAAAAGAACAGCGTGATTAATTTGATTATTTAGCAGCATTATTAATGCCCTTAATTTCACATTAGATCATTCTAATGTATTTTTTTAATAAAAGTATTTGCTTTTAAATCTCACTGACCCCAAACGTTTGAACAATAGTGCACTTTTTCTAAAAATTATTAGATAAATAAATAATTATATATATTTAATAATAAATTAATTAAATACTTTTCATCCTGAACAAATATTTTTCTGTGACATTTTGCATTATATCCTGGTTGTTGACTCACCCAATCAATAACAGTAAATAAGGATTGGGTTTGTCAATCTCCAATACACAAAAACTCAATGAAGATAATCCTAAGAAATAATAATGCTAAATTCAAAAGCAGGAGTGTTAAATTAAATTCTTGGAGGGCTGCAGCTCAGGACAGTTTAGTTCCAACCCTAATTAAACACACCTGATCAAACTAATTGAGTCCTTCAGGCTTTTTTGAAACCTACAAGTAAACTGTCATACTGCTCTTTTCTCCCCATAGAACTCCATTCATACGCACGTGAATGCGTAAGACCGGAAACACAAGCTCGTGCGACAAGTTGAACAGTCTTATGCATTGGCAAGTTCAAGCTTGGTGAACTCTGACCTGCGAAATCGCATTACATGACAGCATGAGACCAAACGAGGATTGAAACAGGACCTCTCTGGACAGAAATTTAAAATATGGACCAATCGCTCGCTTTTTTATTGTCTAATCATCTTGTTTAATACCGCCCTTTTTCGCAGTGCCGTACGACAGAAGGGATTACACAAGATGATTAGATATTAAAAATAGTGAGCGATTGGTCCATATTTTAAATTTATTTCCAGAGAGGTCCTGTTTTAATTCTCGTTTGGTCTCCCACAGTCAAGTGGTGCAATTTCGCAGGTCAGAGTTCACCAAACTTGAATTTTTGCAACGCAGCAAACTGCGAAACTTGTAGCATGAGATGGAGAGAAAAGTGCAGTGACCGCAGCTTAATTTTGTTGGAGCCAGGTTGGAACTAAATTGTGTAGGGCTTTGGGTTTATATGCAGAAGAGCTTGAAATTTGAGCTGTTAAATACAAGACTTAACTGATTGCTGTCACATCACATGACATTTGAATATGGCTTCAAAATACTTTAAATGAACCACTTTTATAGTACTTGTTAAGAGGCTGATAAATCCAAACTCATATCATTTGATTTAATTCTATGAGGAAAAAGTCATATTAAAGACATATTTGTCCCAAAAATAAACTTTTTTTGTTTATTTGCTCACTCTCAGACCATTCAAGATGTAAGTGAGGATGTTTTTTTCTTTCCAGTAAAATATTTAATGCTATGATTCATAAAACTTTGTTAGTAAAAAAACAAAATTAATACTCGTGGCCCGTAACAATAAATTGAGGTTTTAAGGATTAAAACAATCATTTACTTTCACTTAGTTTGGCTTCAGTGTACTGTTAGGAGCCACAAGTATTGATATTAGCCCCTTTAATACATACAGACCTTTCAGGAAAATGACAGGTAAATTGCTGTGAAGAGATCATGTATGAACAGATCCTTTAAAAAAAAAAAAAAAAAAAAAAAAAACTATATTTGGACAAGGTAAATTTCTGGAACGATGTCAGGCAACATTACCAGTATTTTGCAATCAAGTTTAGTTTGAAAGTGATTTAGTACCTACAGTAACCCTCACCCTACTTATTTCCCTGTTGTTATATGATTGTTTGATAGCCTTTTATGTATGCGTGTGTATAAAATGTAATTATTTTTCCCTTATGTGGACAATCAAGTTAATTTGTTGTGGGAGACATGCATACCCTTACTGTCTGATGAATAGTGTCTAAGCTCAAATTTTCACCATTGGTAAAGAAAAAATTGGCAAGAAAAAACACTGGATCAATGAGCCTGTATCCCTAAGAAAATATTGTATTCTGTCAGACAAAAGCCCACAGACTTTGATTTGGGGCCCTTTTCTTGACACATTACCTCTGTTAGACTTTAATAATTGATTATTTGATATAATTATTATTAGTTTTGCTAGTCTTTTTTGTTGTTTCTTACTTTCTCTATTTTTATGTTATTGTTTTAATTCAATGCTTTGGCATATTTGTAAATGTAATTTATTTGTGCATCATTTCTGGACATTATTGTTTTGATTTATTATTACCATCAACCATTTTAACTATCTTTACGTAACATCAAAATGAGAAATATTTTGACAAAATTTGTGACAAGTATACCTTGTATGGATGGGGGTGGGTTGTATTTGTATTTGTATTTGTATTTTTTTATTGTTATTATTATTTTTATTTTGCAATTTGTAAAAAAAAAGTTTTGCTACTCTTTGTATTCTTACATTCTACACAATGTTATGTATATTGTCAATAAACACTTATTTAAAAAAAAAGTCTTTAATCTTTTACTAAAGAAAAAAGTCACCTACATCTTGAATGGCCTGATGTTAAGTAAATTAACAGCATATTTTAAATTTTAAATGAATTATGATTCAAGAACAAAAGTATGAAGCTAAATATATGCCAAAACAATCTCACTTTGTATTGTGCTAATTTAAGTTATTAACAATTGTAATTTAAAAAAAGTAAATGTTTATATGCCATTAAAAACATGTTTTGAATTTGAATTTCTTAACTTGAAATTTAACTTCTTAACTTGAATATTGAACATCTAAAATGTAAGACAACTGATATAAAGTTTTTTAAGTGGGTTTGTAAAAATACAGTTTTAAGATTAACAGAAATTCAGAGCATCAAATTCAATATTCTACATATCAAAACCAGAAATTCAAATCGCGCAGAAAGTAGGTCAGGGGTGATCAAAAAGGAAGAGTAGACAATCACTGAAATGTCAAATGCTTATGCTATGTTGTACTATAGAACATTTGCATGGTTGCATGCACATTTGTCATTTACCACAGTTGTAAAATGCTAGAACAGAAAGTCCTTAAATTTGACTTGGAAAAGGTGTAAGATCCCTGTGTCTGTTGAAATAACCCATCAGAGCTGGGAGAATCAGCTCTTTATCCCTCAAAACACAGAGAGCTAAAAAACGTTTGATTAACCAATGAGATGTATTTGAATTAAATATATTAATTTGATTTACTAAAGCATGTATATTTATTACACAAACTACTGACAATAGCTGACCCCAGATAGTCAATATGGAGAAGAATGGTCTCCTCCTCCTAATTGTCTACTCTTCCCTGTTGATCACCCCTTGCCTACTTTCTGCACGATCTGATTTTCATGATCTGAATTTCTGGTTTTGAATTTTAGAATATTGAATTTGATTAAATTTGGTTCAATTAGAACCAAAAAAAAAAAAGAGTTTGAAAATACATCTATAAAAAATCTGACTTAAATTCAGTTGTCTTAAATTTCAGAAGTTCAATATTTAAGTTAAGAAATTCAAATTCAAAACATGTTTTTAATGGCATATAATATTTAGTTTTATTAACTTACAATTGTTAATAATTCTATTGAACACAATTCAAATTCCAATTGTTTTGGCATATTATTAGCTCCATACAAAAGAAATAAACATACAAGATTTGAATCCCTTTAAAATATGAAACTTCACTGTAAAAAGCAATTGGTTGCTTTACTTAAAAAAAAAAGAGAGCAAACCCACTGCCTTAAAAGCAACAAGTTGATTGTACTTAAAAAACCTCATTAAACCCATTGATTTATCTTTATGATCATGTGCTGGTGTTTACCTGTTATAAATGTTGTAGAGCCAGTCTAGCAGCGAGTATATGTCAGTGATCTGCAGATCTCCGTTGGTGAGAGCCTGGAGTCGGCGAGTCACGGCCTGATGGTAGCTCTGTGTGTACACTTGGAAGGAGTCATATTCGGCAGGATATACAGACACCGCATTACGGCGGGCCGCTCCAAGGTCCTCCACCATACGCACTCGGAGTTTATCCAGAAAGGTGGCGAGCTCACCTGCCCGAGCTTCTGCATGCTGGGGTAAGTTTGCATCGGCCAACTCAACGACCGCCTCTTTCCAGCGCTTCCTAAACTCCCTGGGCCGCGGACCTCCAGGAGCGGCTCCTTCGCTCTGAGCCCAGTCCCGATCTGCCTGCTCCTCCTGCTGGAGCACCTGCACCACCAGGCCCAGGTTTGGCCCAGCGGTGGGGCAGCGCAGAGAATCCCTCACCACGTCCCACAGCTCTTTCTGCAGCGCCTCGTACAGCAGCTCCACGTCTTTGGCTTTGCGCCGACTGCTGTCTTTGCTGCTGGGGCTGCTGAAATCCTCCGTCCCTCCTGCCGTCGGAGATTCGGCCTCTCTGCACTCCTGCTCCAGTTCCAGAATGTGAGTGTCAGCCAAAAACAAATCACGTTTTGTCACCAACTGCAGGATTTCCAATACTGGGAACACAAAGAACACAAAGAATAACACAAAGGTTGTCTATTAGTGACATGGAGGAAACTGAATACTTGTTCTGAACTTATACACAAAACAAAGATTATTGCAGTAGGTTTTAAAACGGAATGGAGCACAAAGGAGTATTTAGCAAAAAAGTATGAAAGTATGACTGAAGCGGTCATAAATGTGCTTTAAATGTAAATAATACACAGCCATAGACCAATCAGCATCAAAGACCAAAGCTATTCATTTTTTTAGAGAAAATATTGGTACATATGTGTACACTGGTACATTTTCTATTTTATTTTGGTAATACTTTATTTTGGGCAGCATGATGGCTCAGTGGTTAGCACTGTGGCCTTACAGCAAGAAGGTTGCTGGTTTGAGTCCCGACTGGGCCTAGAGGCATTTCTGTGTGGAGTTTGCATGTTCTCCCTGTGTTGGTGTGGGTTTCCTGCAGGTACTCTGATTTCCCTACCAGTCCAAAGACATGCACTACAAGTGAATTAGAGAAAGTAAATTGGCCACAGTATCTGTGTGTAAATGCGAATGTATGGGTGCTTCCCAGTAATGGGCTGCGGCTGAAAGGGCATCCGCAGCGTAAAACATATGCTGGAATAGTTGGCAGTTGATTCCACTGTGGCAACCCCTGATAAATAAGGGGTTAGAATGAAGGAAAATGAATTAATGAATGAACACTATTTTTAAAATCTGCATGATGTCGCAACATTTATTTTTATTTTGTATTGTGACGCAGTTCTTAGAGAATGTTTTTTACAGCGAGCTGATTAGATGTAGTAAAGCAGGAATTTCATTCAGAAGAGTTCTTACAACCTAACAGACCTCTTCCCTGCCATTTCTGTTTGTTATCAAAGTGCTGTCAAACATAACATTTGGAGGGGTGTGGTTAAGTATGTTAATCACACCCAATACCAAAATCATGCAGTAAGTACTTGTAATGAATTGGTATTATAAAGTGTACTTTTTTCTTGTAATACCAGTATTAATTATGTCCGGAGAAGACATTTATTCATTCATTGATTTTCTTTTTTAGTTAGTCTTTTCATTAATCAGGGGTCACCACCTTGTCCAGCATATGTTTTTCAGCTGCAACCCATTACTGGGAGACACCTATACACTCTCATTCACGCCCATACACTACAGATAATTTAGCTTACCAATTCACCTATAGCACATATCTTTGGGGGAAACTAGAGCACCCGTAGAAAACCCACACGAACATGGGGAGAACATGCAAACTCCACACAGAAATGCCAACTGACCCAGCCGAGGCTCAATCCAGCGACCTTCTGTCTGTGAGGCAACAGTGCTACCCACTCCACCACCACGCTGCTCCTAATTGGTATTTAAAAGAGTAATTTATTTTCTTGTAATACTATAATTAATGATTTAAAGGTTTGTGACTTATGATATAAAATGTAATAAGTTGACTACTTGTAAAAAGGGAAGCTGATTGCTTTAAAATTTTTAAGTAAAGTAGTGTAATAAGTTTAAGTGTGCATAACTTATACAGTTTGTATTTATAACTTTTTAATAAAGTAAACTTCAGTACCGTTGACACGAAATAATTAGTTGTGTTAACTTCCTAAAAGTGTTCACATTACTAGGAAAATATTAGAAAACTGATTGCCTTAAAATGACCAAGTAAGCTGAACTAAAACATTTAAGTAAAGACAAAAGCCAATGACTTACTTACTCATGCCCAGGGCCATTTATATCCAAGTTGATATTAAGCCACACCATGTTGGTGTTTTGTAACATCTAATTTTTACGAGGTGAGTCATCAGCACAATGCTCAACCCTTAACCTGGAGGACCAGGACATACACATACATACACTACAGACAATTTAGCTTACCCAATTCACTTATAACGCACACAGAAATACCAACTGATGCAGTCGGGGCTCTAACCAGCTAACTTTGTAAGGCTTTATGAGATTACCCACTACACCACCTGTTGGTTCCCTCATGACCATTATCTATCATTAACATGCTTTTGACACATGACCACTCAAAGGAAAATACATATTATTGTAAGTCAAGATTACTTGAAAATTTGTTTAGTTTAACAACTTAATGTGCTAAAAAGTTGGGATTACTTGTTTAAATATTGTTAGGTGAACAAACTTATTCATAATAACTTAACTGCACTTAATTGTGTAAGTGAGAACAGCTATAGCTTTTACATAGTATTAACATGTGGTGTTGTTTTGTGAAACCAGAGACAATTTTCCACTATGTGGACAATAAAGAAACTCAACTCAACTAATAAAAATGTTTTAAAAAATCGTGATCTACTAAATTATGAGAAACTGCAAAAGTCGCATATAGCTTTTGAATACACACAACGAAGAGATGAGAACCACGGTTCATCTAATGGACAAATATGGCACAGTTTTTTGGCCATCCAATACAACTGTTCAAAATTCCCCCATTAGTAGGTTTTCTACGCTTAAACCTAAAACATAAATGCAATATATTTTCCAGATGGGCTAAAGAACTGCCAATGCACTCTGCTGGCTATAGTTTATAATGATCTCACTTGTGTTTCTTACGTGTAGCAGCACTTTTTTTTACATTCCAAAGAAATGTTTGATGAAGCAGACGGGCTCTCATTGAGGTCAGTGAGCACACCCATTCTGCATCATTTCCAGTCCTTTCCTTTGGGATGAACACTTTTACTTGGGTTAACAAATTGTACTGATTATTTGAGAAAGGTTTTGACAGGTTTTAAGTAGTGTGTCTTTAACCAGTCCAAGAAAAAGTCAAGGGGTCAACATGTTCACATATAAATAATCTGAAAAGACTAGCAGAGTAGATTGCCAGCATATGTTGTGTTGTGGATGCAGATGCCCAGCATGGAAAGTGGGTTCTAAATCATGTATACAGTATATGTATGTAAATATGTAATATTTTGGTAAAAGATATTGCACTTTGATAATGCCACACACCAGTGTTTTCCAAAGACACAAAATAAGACCAATAAACATCTCAAAAATAATTTGACTCACTAAATATAAGAAATTGTTGTAATGGAAAATGAGCTACTTAAATTCCATCTACATTTAAAAGACTCAAGCGTTTTATATGGACAGTAAGTGCCCGTTGCGGTGCTGAGTTGCATGTTTGTTTCCTGCCTGACCTCTTCTTGGAGGGAAGGATGCGGGGGTGTGTTTAGTTGGCGCCTGACTCATCTGTCCCTGTCCCTATTGAGGATGAACTGTCCAGAAATGCCACGACAGAACCCACACCCGTCTTAACCGTCGCACAGTGTGCCAGTCTATCGGAAGGAGATCTAAATATACAATACAATACCACAAGGCTTATCGCTAATGCAGACGGGGGACAAGGTGGAAAAATTAATGTTCTACTTGTTAAAAATGAGGGTCACTTCCTCTGTAACTCATCTACGTAAAGAGTCCTCCACCCAAGGACAATTTGTCAGTATATATCCAAGCGACTTAAAGAATGGGATGGTGACATTTAACCCTGGGTTAACACTTCTATCTGAGAGAAAAGTTTGCACAATATTCTGAAGTGAAAAATGGTTTCCCTTTTAATTCATGAATACTGGGAATTGGAATAACAGGGAATTGGAATTTGATGAACTGCACTTCAGAGAAATTCAGCAGGTAATGGCATTCCAGGTAACGAAGCGTCATTCACCCTTGCACATACATCTGTCTATAAGTCCAATGTATACTTTAGGTTTCACTCATGTATGAGGGTTTGAGTATAGTGTGGTATAAATATTTCACCACTGTAACAGTATGTGCATACTGTTCAAGTTCTGCCTAGTTTTTTGTTTTTGCAGTAAACATTGTGCCACAAGGTGTTAACACTGAACTGCTGAGAAAAAAAACCTGGAAGAAGACCGAACAAGAACAACAAACTACAAAGACTAAAGGTTCTGCACAACAGTCTAAAATGCTGATTTAATGCAAATTTGAGTAAAATATGAACAAACATTACATTTTAAGCAAACCATTGGGTTTGTAACAGTCCCTATCTTGTGTTCATGTGTTTTCTGTTTATCATTGTTTAGTGTCACCCCCATTCACCTGTAGTAGTTCACCTGTAGTAGTAGTTGCTCCGATTGTCTATTTAATCTTTGATTGAATTATTTTCTCCTCCCTCTTGTCATGTAGGTTTTTTTTAAAGCAGGTAAAAAACCCATTGAGATTGAGGGTGACCTGGCCAAGAGGTCTGCAACACATAATATTATAAAAGAAAAGATAAGAATACAAAATTACAATATGTAAACAAATTTATTTTTGTGTATAGGGTAGATTGGAATAATTCAATTGGGTTAAGCTAATTGGTTGCTCTTGTATTTATACCTTGTATATAAACACTACATGAAACAGAGTTAACAGATTAACAGAGTTAGTCCATATTTACCAAAATCTGGTTTGAACAAGCTTTAAGATTAAAGGGTAAATGTAGAGTATATTTAATAACAAATGTTATAACTATGTGTGGACACTAACAGCTTAAAAATGTATTTGTGCTTTAGTCCCATGTCCTTTCATTCTTATGATCAGGGCCGGATTAACCAATGGGCCTTATGGGAACAGGCCCAGGGGCCAGTGCGCACTAGGGGCCCCTACGAGGGGGAGAAATAAAAGACAATTTCGGAGTGTCTTTTTTGGCTAATTGCAAATAGCGCATGTAGTTAGAATAAGCTATTCAGGGTTTACGCCCATCGATGCCTAATTGATAGAGACAAGATGAGTAAAGAGCTGTTGAACAGTACAGCCGCAGTGGCGCACCTTGTAAGGCGCACAGCTTCATCCTTTGATGCGATTAATTATAGACTCGGTTCGAATCCACCATCAGCTAAACTCGTGCTACTTTTTTTCTCTCCATTACATATCAGATTGGAAATTGATTTATTTTTAACAGGAAGGAAGCATTTTTTTAAAAATAATGCAAATGTGATATAAAGTCACAAGTGTCTCGTGGGTATTTAATAATGTT